TGAATTAAAACGAAGACTTTCCAAATGCATTTTATATGAACGTAACAAATATCGGTACAAAATCACCAGACACTGTATAAGCGAGAAAATCAGTAATCAAAATAAACAAATTATGCAACACAATATATTGATATGAGTGTCAACCTTATCTCTTGTAAACAGTCACCTAAAAAAATATTCCTTTTATGATAGCATGCAAGATACCACAAACTACTTGACAGCTATATTAATATGCACTCAATTTTTTAAACATAAAAGTAACTTTGTTTATGCAAGCGTTTACAGGAGACAAAAATATATGACAACCATGTTACCATCCGCTCATAACTCAGCACAGGGAACACAGGGAAGGTCAATACTGCACAGCTGCCCCAAAGACTCCCGAACTCGACACAGAATCAGTTGCAAAAAAATTCGCAATTCAAATAAAACACATAACGCTGGTGGCCCCTCAAGTTTCTGTTCTTACCCTATCACAACTAATTTGTTTCCTTATAATAACATCCGTCTTTACGATTCACGACAATGTAAACTGTTAGCAAAACCAACCTATTACTGCTGGCAATTACTGCAAACTTCAAAATGTGTGTGTGTGTGTGTGTGGGTGTGGGTGCGTGCGTGTGCGTGTGCGTGTGTGTGGATGTGTGGGTGTGTGTGTAGAGAGAGAGAGAATATACAAATATAGGCCTATGTGTGTGTGCGTGCATATACATACATATATACATACATATGTGTATGTGTACATACACACACACACACACACACACACACACACACACACACACACACACACACACACACACACACACGTGCATATATATATATAGAGAGAGAGGGGGGGGGGAGAGGGAGAGAGAGATTGCTAGGTAGAAGAGTGGAAATGAGACGAAAAGAGGGAGACAGAAAAAAAACATCTTTCTTGCCACTAACACTTGCTTACATTCCATCCTAGATCTTTCGCCAGAGCATGACTGTTCACCATAGACCACAACCCTTTCGGAACAGGAAGTAGAGCATAGGAATTTAGCTCGACACACAGAAAGAAAATTAACAATTTTTATTGTTACTCGACTCGAACTACCAACCATCAACGTACATCATTTAAAAACTCGATCATTTACACAAGTTACTGTACCAAAATCCATACTTACAGTTGAATTTCACCCTCCTAACTCTGTAAATAGTAATGCCAATAGTTGTTGATGGGTTGACAGCCGCCATTAGCCAGAATTTCACATAAAATCACAATGATAACAAGAAAGTCTTGTCTGCTTCTGTTCCACAGCAAATTCCGTTCCACATACGGAAATTTTGAACTTCTCAGGATCATTTCATTTGTTTTCGCTTTTTTTTTTGGAGGGGGGTGTGATACATTGCCATGATCAGCGAATAATATTTAAAGGTTGAAAAGAAATTCGGGACTTATCATCATCATCATTGGGGGGCTAACGCCGGTAGGGGCGCATAGCCGCGTCCACCCTTCGTTTCCACCTGTGAGGGTCTCTCATGGCGAGCCGCCAGGCAGGGGCCCGGCCCATCTCTAGTTCCTCACGACAGGTTTGATCGATCTGCCCAAGCCATGACCTTCTTGGTCGTCCCACAGGCCTCCTCCACCCAGGGTTGTCTCGAACAGAGACAACCTGATGGGCAGGATCATCCTGCGGGAGTCGAGCCAAGTGGCCATATAGCCTGAGTTGGCGATCACGGATTGTGCAAGTAACAGGTCCTGTACCGGTCTCACGGTGTAGCTGTTGGTTGGATACATGGTCCCGCCAACTGTACCCCATGATCCGGCGCAGGGATCTGTTACAAAAGGCATCGAGACGAGATTCCAAAGCACAAGATAGCGTCCAAGTTTCACTACCATATAGTAAAACTGGCAGTATCAGGGCCTTGAAAACTCGTAGCTTGGTCCTTCTGCACAGGTACCGGCATCTCCAAATACTCTTGTCGAGAGATTTCATGACCCCTGCTGCCAGGCCAATCCGTCTACTGACTTCCTGGTCTGACAGCCCAGAGTCATGAACTGCACTACCGAGGTATATAAAACTCCTAGTGACTTCGATGTTTTCACCGCAAGCACGGACCGACTGCACAGGGTCTCCTAGTAGGCCCCCAAAATCCTGGATCTTGGTCTTGGTCCAGGAGACCTCTAGCCCCAGGGGCTTCGCTTCATTGCTAAATGCATCAAGAGCCGCCTCTAGGGTTTCCAGAGATTCAGAAAGAATGGCAACATCATCAGCAAAGTCAAGGTCTGTAACCTTGATATTGCCCAGAGTTGCTCCACAGTGACTTTGGACAGTAGCTCTACCCAGTATCCAATCCATGCAAGTGTTGAAAAGTGTTGGTGCAAGGACACAGCCTTGCCTCACGCCTGAGCTAACAGGAAAGAAGCTCGACAGGCCCCCACCACACTTTACAGCACTTTCAGTGCCTGTATACAAGTTTGCTATTAGCCCAACAATCCTTGATGGAATTCCTCTCAGTCTCAGGATCTCCCAGAGTGATTCGCGATGCACCGTGTCAAACGCCTTCTTGAGGTCGATGTAGGCTGCAAGCAGCCCACGTCCGAACTCACGACGGCGCTCTACAATGACTCGAAGCGCCAGGATGCGGTCTATTGTGGACTTACCAGGAGTGAATCCAGATTGCTCCGGTCTTTGGTGCCTCAGGAGGTGGTCTCTGATACGTCTCAGTAAGATGTGGGCGAGTACCTTGCCTGGCACACTGAGCAGTGTAATGCCTCGGTGATTGCTGCAGTCCCACCGATCCCCTTTCCCCTTCCAGAGAGGGATGACCATACCCCTCAGTAGGTCAGGGGGAATGGTACCGGTCTGCCAGATGGCAGACAGGACTGCATGCAAGCCCCTTGCCATAGGTTCTCCACCAGCCTTTAACAATTCAGCTGGGATGCCGCAGACACCTGCTGCTTTACCACTCTTCAGCTTGGAGATCGCCCCCCTGACTTCAGTCAGGGAAGGTGGATCCTCGCTGATGGGTGGGTCTGGCAGAGGAGTCTCAACATTCCCAGCATCCAAGTTTACTGTTGGTGGATCAACCTGATACAACTGCTCAAAATACTCAGCCCAACGCACACGCACCCCATCAGGATCTGAGATTACCTGACCACTCGCTGAGCGGACTGCCGTCGTCTGTGAGGAGGGCTTGGAGTTCAGCTTTCTCAGAGCTTGGTAGGCAGGACGAAGGTCATTTACTAGGAAACGGCTTTCGACCTCCTCTGCAAGATTACTGATATACTGTTCCTTATCCCTTCTCAGCAGTGACCTAGTCCTGCGCGCCAGAGAACGGTGCAAATTGCGATCCCCTGACAATCGAGCTGCACGGCAAGCTTCTGTGGCTTCCAGTGTCTCTTGCGAGATGGTATTCTGTCTTGCTCTAGGGCGTACACCAATGGATTCCTGAGCTGCATCAAGCGTTTCACGCTTGAAGGAATCCCACATAACAACAGGGTCTGTCAGGCCCTCGAGTGCTGTGAACCGACCAGAGATAGCCTCAGCAAACCCCCGGGCACACTCATCCTCCCTCAGTCTGTCCAGATGAAACACCTTGGGGTGCTCATTTGGTCGACGGGGGGTTTTAAAGTGGACCCGGAGAGTAGCCACAACTAATCTATGATCAGTTCCACAGAACTCGGCGCTTCGATACACCCTGCAGTTCTGGAGGATCCTCCACCGAGTGCTGACGAGGATGTGGTCGATCTCCTTGGCCACCCTACCCGTATCGCTGTACCAAGTCCAGCGATGCGGGTCAGAACGCTGATACCAGGAGCCAGAGATCCTCAATTTCTGGGACCTAGCAAAGTCACGGAAAAGGAGGCTATTCTCGCTGCCAGCATCAGCTCCTGAGCCATGGGGACCGACAGACATCTCGTAGCCAGCTCGATCACATCCGGATACCGCATTGAAGTCGCCCAAAACAATACGAATATCTCGCCGAGGACAACTGTCTGCCACAGATGCAAGTTTGGCGTAGAACATCTCTTTCACCTCAAGTTTATATACATCCGTAGGAGCGTACACAGCAATAAGAGACATGAAGCCAAATGACAGCTTCAGTCTCAATACCATTATACGCTCATCGACTGGAGTGACCTCTACTACCGAGGGTTGAAGTCGGCTGGAGATGGCTATGGCTACTCCCTGGAGATGGTGGCCATCGCTGCGGCCCGACCAGTAGTAAGTGTAGCCACCCACACTAATCGTGCCGCTGCCAGGTCTTCTCACCTCCGAGAGAGCAACCACCTCAACTCTCAGCCGCTTCAATTCCCTCGACAGTAGTGGTAACCGATCATCCTGTCGCAGGGAACGGACGTTCCAAGCCCCCACCCCCACCGACGCCGCCCCATATAGAGGTTGGCTGGCTGCAGGTCCCCTAATCCACCTGCAGGGCTCCCGGGGGCTTTCCCCCACAAGCATCACGCCAGGCTGGCGGCCGCTGGGACCCAGAGGGGATGAAGGGTAACCCCCCCTCCCCGCCTGAGTCCCAGCGGTCGCCAACCCAGAGGGACCCACAGCCTGCCGTTCTTGCTGGGTAGGAGGGGCTTTAGCCCTCCCCCCAGCACCAACTTCTTTATGTTTCGTTGCCAGTTTGGTTGTCTCGGAGGGGCAGACTGGCAAGGCCAAGATCAAGATTATATACTTGTGGCGGAGAAGAAAAACTACTTACCTTTATTAACGGGTCTGCTCTTTAAGATAATAGCAGTAATGATAATAGTGATAAATAAATCATAGATATTAAGAAAATAAAAAAGAAATAACTTGCGGGACAGTAAGTGTGAATATACACCTTTTTGGAGTTCAGAATGACTGTTACTTACTCCCCATCCCTTATTTAGATTATAATTAAATATATGGACAAATTAGCGACCCCCCCCCCCCCAAAAAAAATGCCATTTAGTGATCCCGTGAACAACTTTCAAAACACCAACACGTTACTCGTCGTCTCTCGTGTTCCTTTGACGCCGAACGTGTTGCGGACAAACAGTTCTCGGTGGAATACAGTTGTTTACTTTATATCCACTCCCGATATTGGCAATTTATTACTATTATTATTATCGTTATTTTAGAATGAATCTAAGTAGAAGGTTGTTACCGATTCACGTGTATGTCCGGGTGAGTAAAATCGTGCGATGATATAGTATTATATCGCTAGCACGTATTTTGGGTTAATTGTTGGTCTTTTTACTTAATTTGTTGATTCTTTGTCTGTTGTAATAGAGTGTGGTTTATTAGATGTAAATTATGCCCAGTGCCCTGCATGGTAAAGCTGTCTATTCAGTAAATTAGTGAATGTGTAGACTAGACCAGTGGTTCCCAAACTGGGGGCCATGGCCCCCTGGGGGGCCATATAGCAGAATGTAGGGGGCCATAATCTGAGGCTATGTAGAGATAAAATCAAAGGAGTTTAGCGGGTAAGCAGCCAGTGGAGGGAACTTACAGGTTCAGTACAGGTTTGTGCAATGCCTTAATAATGCAGTTTTTAATTACTCTAAGTATGGAGATTGTTTTATGTGCATTATATTACTTCTTCAGTACCATTTCAATAATTATAGGAGATTTAGCAAAGGAAAAATACAAATTTCTTTTTTAATACTTAACAAAAGAAAAAATAACAAATGGAATCAATAAAATTACAGGATTTGCTAGAGTGGTTTTTATATGGACCTAATGAGTGTAGGACTGTAGACAATCACTGTAGTCACGGGTTATGGTTGGGGGTGGGGGCCATGGACAAGGATCATGTATGAAAAGTGGGTAACGACCAGAAAAAGTTTGGGAACCACTGGACTAGACTGTTTACTTGGCACTGGCACTGTGCATTTGAATTAAGTATAATCATTAAAAAATATAGATAGATAGATATTTGCCAGTATTTGCCTTGTTGTGATGCTTTATATGCATCTCTTATATCACTAACGGGTCCTGCATTATATATATATATATATATATATATATATATATATATATATATATATATATATATATATATATATATATATATATATACTGTATTTTGTATAACTATATCATTGCATGTGTCATCAATCTTAATATCCAGCCTCCAGCATACAAGTGATAAATATACTGTAATGTGGCAGTAATATCAGTTACCTGACATCACTATGAAGGCTTAGCAGACGCGTCATGGCTTTCGCACAAGTAACATTTACATTCTGATGATCTTCCCAGTTATGTAATTTCCTAGGGTAAAAAACCTTCAAGACTGCTTCTGGTGTTCCACTCTATGAGTATATAGAAAGGAAACATCACAGGTTTTTTTCTTTTCTTTTCTTTTTTCCATTATTTTTCTATACTACCTGATATCTTTTTTTCCCAATCGCTTGAATTCAAAGAAAGAAAAAAAAATATTTTTATTATCATTATTGAAGTTAACAGTGTTATAGTAATGATAAGGTTAGTGATGATGATAATAGTAATAACGATCATAAGTATTATAGATGACACTTGTTCCCCCCCCTAAATTTAAGGACTGAGGTAAAGAGGCGAGGTCAGATAGGCCCAGTAATCAACTTTTGGTGGCTAAGTATATGTAAAACCATCTATATGTAAACAGAATTGACAGTGGATTGGATACTAGTAAGTTAAAGGGCTATTTTTAGTTCATTCTGTCTCCACACAGTTCTCATTTCAAGATGTGTATAGGTAGTATCATCAGATCATTTGGGACCTAACACCAGCAGGGGCACATAGCTGTTTGATCAATCTGTCAAGACATGACTTCCTAGGTCATCTCATAGGCCTCCTCCCCACCAGGTTGTCTCGAACAGAGACAACCTGGTGGGCAGGATCACCTTGTGGGAAACGAGCCAGGTGGCCATATTGCCTGAGTTGGTGATCACGGATTGTGCAAGTAACCAGTCCTGTACCAGTCTCAAGGTGAAAACATGGTCCCACCAACCCCATCATTTGATACAAGAACCCGTTACAAAAGGCATCAAGAAGAAATTCCAAAGCACAAGATAGCATCCAGGTTTCACTACTGTATAGTAAAACTGACAGTGTCAGGGCCTTGAAGACATGTAGCAGGTACCAGCATCTCCAAGTACTCTTGTCGAGAGATTTCAGGACCCCTGCTGCCAAGCCAATCCATCTATTGAAATCCTGGTCTGACAGCCCGAAGTCATGAACTGCATAACCAAGGGATATAAAACTCTTAGTGACCTCAATGTTCTCACCACAAGCACATACCGATTGAACAGAGTCTCCTAGCAGCCCCCTAAAGTCCTGGATCTTAGTCTTGGCCAAGGAAACCTTTAACCCCAGGAGCTTCACTTCATTGCTAAATGCATCAGGAGCCACCACAAGGATTCCAGAGTTTCAGAAAGAATAGCAACATCAGCAAAGTCAAGGTCTGTAACCTTGATATTGCCCAGAGTTGCTCCATAGTGACTTTGGACAGTAGCTCTAAAAGTGGTGGAGTTGAAAAGTGGTGGTGCAAGAACAGAGCCTTGCCTCACTCCTGAACTAACAGGGAAGAAGCTCGACAGGCTACCACCACACTTTACAGCACTTTCAGTATGAGTATACAGGCTTACCATTAATCCGATAATCCTTGTTGGAATTCCTCTTAGTCTCAGGATCTTTGGGTAGTATAAACCACAAATTTCTTTAAATGAGAATCGGTGTGATGTTAACCCATTGCCGCCGGGGATGGCATGTACGTAGATGCCATGCCCACTGTGAGTCGACTTGTTCGATTGTTTTTCCACATAGATGGCTACACCTGTACTAAGTATCCAATGAGCCAATTACAGTACTGCCTGTCTCGCCCGTTCACCCTTTTCGTCGATTTACGAAAATATTTAATGTTATCCTAATTTGCTGTTAAAAATAACACCATCTATATTTATAGCACTAGTAAGAATACGTTTTTTCCCGCCAATTCAAGTAAAGGTGAAATCAGGACTAGTAGAGCCATCTATAGACAGAGATATTTCACAAAAATATAAAAAATGAGTACTGCATTTCAACCATTTTTTGTTCATTTTCCCCGGTGGCAATGGGTTAAGGGATGATTTTCCTTATATGGTCATTTGTGGTCAATCTGAACGAAATAATCTGATGTAATACATATGTGTTTTATGGTCCTTAGACATAGTTTCAAACCGTTTAGTTTACCCATTATAACCTGTCAAAGTTAAAATGTAAATATATGCCAATATTAGAAAGGCTCCTTTGACACTATTGTTAGCTTTTCAATAATGTCACTTGAACACGATGCTGGGGGACATCTAATCCTAAAATGTCAAGCAGGAGAAGGAGAATGAATAAAAAAAAAAAACACATATTTTTGAGATTTTGACAGCTGTTATCATCTGTCACATCAAGATAAGTGAAAATACAGTGAGTGTGCTGACCTGCAAAGCAACTCAAGTAAATGCCACATGTAACATTAAACAACAAGGGAAAGGATTCATAAGCCGTGCTCTTTGTAGATTACTCTTTTCGCCACACTGAAGTTTAGATCCATGCCCTAGTGCATGAACCAGGGACAAACAATGCTTATCAAAATATCTGCCAGTTGAGGGACTAGGATAACATGTGACTTAGCCAAAGATTTTGTATTGTTAATTCTAGTCTTGTTTGGTTATCATCCATGGAAGTACAAAAAATTCATACTTGTATAAATATAGAATATGACAAAAATGTTTACAATATGCTGATGTCATAGGTATTTTTGACAGATATACAAGATAATTATATAATGAAAGTCTCTGAATGAATAGATAATTAATAATTGTACATTAGTAATATCAGTAAAGGTAAAGCCAAAATTATTCGAAAACTAGATGCATTTACAAAGTCTGATATATCCATGTTCTTTAAAAGTGCATTTATCTACATATTCTCACCACATGAACCATTGTTAGATAATAAGCTTAATCACGAACGGTAACACCACAAATAAAGGTAAAGTATAGCAGAAAGCATCACTAACAACCTTGGTCCTCCCAAGGTTCAATATTAACTTACCATGCATATTGAGGTGAATACAATGTTTACCAGGGGCTGTTAAGGGCCATACCCCCCCCCCCCCCCATCAACCCTCCCCACAGGCAGTGCCTGAAGGGTATCCTCAGTCATGGCAATTTAGGTTGCTGAATAAAGTTTGTGACATGGAGTTGTTGATTTGGTCTCTGGTGTGTCTGTACTGTGGAATTCCGATGATAACAATATCAGAATAAAGTAAACTACCATAACTTCTGTTACATTCCTAATCCTTATTGGACCAACAATACATGTAACAAATTTTGCCTTATAGTTTCACAAATTATATCTTTTCCAGTTTCACAGCAGTTCGAGGAATTTAGCAAAACGGAAATATTTTACAATGAATTTTTCACCTCATAATCTGCCAACTGCAATACTCAAAGCGCAAGAGATGGGTGTTTATCAGTAGGAGGAAAATAGAATTACAATTAAATTCTTATAAAACATATTTTGATTTATTTGTAGCATAACAGGTTGAACAGATTTGATTTTAGAATGCCTTTGAGAAGAAAGTGATTGGATATCAAAATGGCTTCCCATTCTTCTTAAAAGAGAATTTTTATTCCTTTTATGGTATTTTCAATATTTCTCTTTTAATTTTCAGAATGCTTCCACAAAAGCCAAGTTAAAGACAAAGTTTAATTTTGAACTCTCGGCTGATGTCAGTGACTCCCTCAAGAATGGATCTGTGAAGGCACGCCATCATGCAGGCAAAATGGGCGTGGGAGTGGTGCACCTCCCTGAAGCACTTTCTCAGGCTGCATTTAATTCATTGAAAGGTAAAGGATGAAGTCACCTTTTGTAGTTATGATGACACCTTTGTTGCGGGCTATTAGCTTTTACATGCAAAATATTTTCATTGTGTATTGTTCCGTCATTTCTGTTCAACACTTCAATTATCCGTGAAATGTGACTGATATTTTGCAAGCTAGGATTTCATTAGTCTTTTGTTATTAGTATGCTTTAGA